TGCCAAGGAACCCAGATCTGGTGTTGGGGAAGGGGAGAGAAAATGAAAAGGCATGGGCTACAAGTGCTTGGAGCGGCCTTGCCACTCTCCTCCAGCTCGTCACCCTTCTTCTCTTCACGAACATACCAAAAAGAGCAAGACATATTTGCAGACAATTTCAGAAGATGATTTGAATTTCCGAGATAGGAATTGAACGGAATTTTCCAGCGGACGACGGCATACAAGTTCAGGAAAGCAGGCGTTGTTGGGTTCCTTCGATTGACCCAGCAGCAACCGAGCAAAAAAGAGAAATTAGAAGGGAAAATGTCCAGATCCGGTGTTTTTTTTGGTAAAAATCCAGATCTGGTGTTGATTGAGGGATAGAGAGAGAAAGAAAATGAAAGGAAGAAATTGTAGGGCTCATTGGGGGCGTTTCACTAGATCTTTGAGGGGATGGGTCTTGGTGGATGCATTGTTCTGGTATGACGAAGGATCGTCACTTCATTCAATTTCCACTGCAATTTCCTTTTTTTGTTATTGTTTCTTATTCCTTGTCCAAATTTTGACTTTTCTATGCATTTGATTTGGTGCTTCGAGCGGTGGCGCCGGTGATTACCTCCCCATGGAGACAGAGGAGGTGAGTTTGGGAGTTAACGGATCATAACGGAAAGTGAGTGTGTGCAAGGAAGTATGTAACGGAGGAGTGTGTTTGTAGCATTTTCCTTTTTTTTAACAGATTGAAATTATTTACATGTATTAATTAGAGAAGGAGAAAGTGGACCCGTAGGGCTCGATCACGTCAACCATAAGAGGTGAATGACCATAATCTAAAGTTCATGTCATTGGACCAAAGCAAGCTGTTCATTTAATTATTTATGCTACCATCAATTAATATGTTACAATTATATATTTAAATTATATAGTACATTTTGTTGGCTGCACTTTTTTTCTAAGAACACTTGGAGCGTTCTTTTTTTTGTTTTTTTCCTCTGGCCCTTTCTTGCAACGTTTCCATTTCCTTTTTGTTTTTTTAGTAATTAATAACTAATAATAATTAATACAATAATATTTAAATTTGAATAGTGATTATATGATATTTTCAAAATTAAAGAAAGTGCAAAACTTTTATTTTTCAATAATATTAGAGCTCCTCATGGAGTGAGCTAGACATGAAAAAACAATGACATTAGCAGGAAAGTCTGGAACTTAGATGCATATAAAATTGAGCATAAAAAAGTCATCTTTTCTCCCTCTTATGGAATGATATTATTAACACATCCTCAATTACTAAAGCCATACTTTTTTTATTTTAATTAAATATTAAATCCTTTAATTTATTATTAAGAAAAAAATATAAAAATTTGAGAAAAAAATATAATGTAATGGTAAAATAGACAATTATATTAAAATGATGTGGTATTAACTATTTAAGATGTGACAATAACCCCAACCTTTTTATGTTATATCTTTCAAGTTTTATTAATACTATTTCATAAAATTTGAATAGTGATTATATGATATTTATAAAATTAAAGAAAGTATAAAGTTTTACTTTTTTTTCCCAACAATATTAGAGCAACTCATGTGGAGAGAGTGAGGCACAAAAAAACAACAATGTTAGCAAAAAAGACAATTATACATACACCCAAAAAATCAACACCCATCTCAACACCTAAGGTTTATAAACAATAAAATTACAAATTTATCCCTCCTTATTTTAGCCTTGCGTGTTGAGATGGGTGTTGATTTTTTGGGTGTATGTATAATTGTCCAAAAAGACAATTATAATTGTCCTAGCAAAAAAGTTCTAAACTTAGATGCAAACAAAGCCGAGCATGAAAAAGTCTTCTTTTCTCTCTCTTATGGGGTGTGGTTATTATTATGCCCTTAATTATTAATACCACATTTTTTTATTTTAATTTACTATTATACCTTTTAATTTATTGAGAAACAAAAATGTAAAATTTGGAGAAAAAAATGTAATATAAGGATATAATAGACAATTACATTAAAAATGATATAGTATTAACTATTTAAAATGTAACAATAAACCCCTTTTTATGTTATGTCATTCGAATTTGATTAATAACATGTTATAAAACTGTACTTATATTTGGTCATGTTGCATTAGAAATCTATTCTATATCTATCTATATATAAAGGGAGAAACTAATGAGAAAAATCATGTAATGTGCTAAATTTTTATCCAATCCTTAATTTATGGTTCTTTTGACACATGGCAAAACTTTCCTTATTTAGTATTTTTTTTACAATGGAGTATTTCTTATGTTGTTGTCTGATGAGATGAGTTACTGTCAAAGTCCAAAATTATAGGAAAAAAAAAAGTCAAATCCAAAAGGTTAATTAGTACCACTTGACTACAATACCGTTAGTGCATATTTGCTATGACTTTTTGTTAATTTAAATATCTTTTTAAATAAAAATAATAATAAAAGAGATAGAGTATTTGGGTGAAATTATATGAAGAAAATATACACTAAAATATTTAATTCATAATAATAAAAGAAAAGCTATTGGATTTTTTTTACTGTACTACTTTTCAAATTAAGCATTTGTTAATTTTAAACTTGATTTTTTTTAGAATTTAATAAGAATAATTTTATATTTCAATGTGTAAGATTTAACATATAAAATTAGAAATTTAAACTTTAGAATTTTAGATTAAGGATTTAGTTTTAAAATTTTAGAATTTTAGATTTTAAAATTTTAGAGTGAAATAATAAGAATTTAAAGGTTGAAGCTTTTAAAATTAATGATTTACAGTTTTAGGATTTAAATTGGTTAATAGAAGGAAAACATATGAATGTGATACATGACAAACTTTTTCTCAATAGTTTTTCCTTTATAATATATATAGATTTTATTTTATGGTAGCTTAATGGTAATCTCCTTTTAGTAGAAATAAGAATTTTAGAATTTGAATTACATAGCATGTGGGTGGGGTGCGCCAAAAGATGACATAAGATTGCCTCCCATTGTACAAGAGGAGCATTGCCCTAAAAATAAATAAATAAATAAATAAATAAAAATAAAACCTCATTTGTTCTCTTCATTAATTTCCTTCAAATCAAATGTACTATTTAAAGATGGCAATTTTTCCTTTCCTCCCATAAGGACCCCATTTAATGTACCCTTAAAAATACAATAATTTTTTTTATAAATTATTGTAAATTGAGTTCAACTCATACTTTAACAAATTTCAATATACTTACTTAATTTTTCATTCATTTTAATGAAAAAACCCAATATTTATTATGTAATTCAAGTCTAACTTAATTACTCAACATATTTGCCATTAATATGTTGTAAAGAAAAAATTGTATGGTAATTTTTTTATGGAAAATGTTTGGTACACCCTCCGGTTCAACACTCAGTTCAACACTTTTTGATTTAGTCATAAAAAATATAATATAAATATAGTCAATTCAGTCGGTTCATGTATCATGTGTGCATGATTGTATTATTATATTTGTCTGTTTTTAATTTCAGATTAAAAATAGTGATTTTTTAATAACTAAACCAAAAGGTGTTAAACTAGGTGTTGAAATATAAGGTATACCAATCACTGTCTTTTTTTTTTCTTTTTTTTTTTTTTATAAATTATTGTAAATTAAGATGAGGAAGATTTTTTTTCTCCTTCAAAAAATCACCATGGGATGGGGAGTGCTCTTTGATCTCATAAGACCTTATTATCATTGCTAATATCTCCATACTAACAATTAAAAATGTTCATACTCATTGAGAATTTGGAACGTAAGCATTCCCATTGTGAATATTGAGAATGTTATTGTTTCTTTTATTGGTTGATTAAGAGCTAATGCTAATGCCTTTTTTGGTTCGAGGGAGAGAAGATGAAGATAAGCCTCTCCATTTGGATAATAAAAAATTGGAGAGGACAAGAGGGGAAGCGAGGGGTTTATTCTTTCTTTATTATTATTATTATTATTTTGCGTTTTAATCTAACCAAATGAGGGAAGGGGGTTTCGTTTCCCTTAAATAAAAAATGAGGTAAATGCATGAATGATTCTCTTATTTTAAAATTCCTTGGATTGCTTTGTTCTCATTCATTTTTTGGGAAATTTAGTACCACAAGAATGACAAGTTTTATGAGAATTGTTATTTCAAGATTCTAAATGAATTTTTCTTATTATTTATAAAACTATTGAATTTTAGTCAATTTTATCTATTCAATTTAATTTATCTAATAGGTAACTTGGTATGTTTTGCTGGCATAAACCTCCTTTATATTTTATTAAGCATTAATACTGAGAGGGCTACCTTCTTCAAACCTATTGGCAAAGGAGGGATATTCAAAGATCATAATGACATTTAGATTATGGGGTTTGCTAAGAATGCATGCATTACTAATAGAATAAGTGTTAAGTTTTAAGATATAAAAGATAACGTTCAACTTTATTGTTGCTAATGGGGTTTTTTAAAATTAGCATTGAGTTTGATTCTTTTTATGCTATTCAATTATTGCTTGCCAACGTCTCTAATGTTTTGAATTGTAAAGAACTCATGAGAAATTTTGTTCTAACTCAACATTGCAACATGTTGATAGGGATAGTCATATGTGTGCTAACCAACTTTTCAAGATAAGAACATCACTTTCTTTAACTTTTGTTGTTTTTTATAAATATCCATCTCTTATGATTACATTTTGTCTTACTCATATACTAGGGGTTCACTTTCTCAAACCACCTTAATAAACTCTCTTTTTTTGTATTAATATAATTTTGTCATATATTTTCTCAAAAAGAAGAAAGAAATAAGTAATAACTTCTTTTTTTCAAGACATTAGTATTCCTCATTTCTATTTCAAATGTTGAATTAATAGTATGTTTGGGTTGAGGGGAGGAAAGATTTTTTGACAAATTAAATTGCAATATTTAAAAAATGTTATAATTTGATTAATCAAAAAATCTTTTCTTCTATTCTTGAAACGACCCAAGTCCAAATCTACCACTAACCTAACAACTCTTTAAACCAAAGTTTATAAACTCTTAAAAGCTCAAGTTATTAGTAGTTGTTGGTTTCTACAATTATCTACTACGTTTCCTCCCCTCTTGAAATGACCCAAGTCTAAATCTACCACTAGCTTAACAACTCTTCGAATCAAAGTCTATAAATTGTTAAAAGTTCAAGTTATTAGTAGTGGTTGGTTTCTACAATTATACATTAAGTTTACTCACAAATCCCCACCAATATGGGATTTGAAGCGTTACACTTCTATTTTTCTCAATTTAAACATATTATAAGATATATATATTTTTTGATATTATAAAAATCTTTTATTTGTATAAAAATATAAATCATGTTCTAAATTATTACATGAAAAAAAGCATAAGTACAAATGAAAAGGTTTTTTTCATAATTTTTTACTAGAAAACATTGACATATATTAGAAAACTATACAAATATATTTAATATTTTCTTTTAATTTATATTTATTTTTTAAAAATAAATAATATCTTACTAAAAAAATAAAATTTATCAAAATTAAAAATATAAATTATTTCATTGTAAGTCCCGATGCGAGGGCACAGGTACCATCTAGTATAATAAAAAGATAGACCAGATCCAGATCACCAGAGCAGTGTGGTTAAAAAGGCCGACAATTTTTGAGCCCCTTGGCAACTGGGGCTTTCATAAGTTCTGTGAAGTCCATGGTTTTTCACGTGAGTAAGGTAGAGTTGGCCCGAAATGGGTTTGGCCCATACAGGCTATCCCTTTCTTTCCCCCAGTGTTTTCATTTCAATTATTTTTAAAGACTTTTTTTTTTTTTTTTAATCTGGACAGCAAGAAACTGGACTATAAAAGCATTTAACTATTTTTATCAAATGAGATTTATTAAAGATATTTTGATACTTTTATAGGCCATATAATATATAAAAAGGATGGGTTAAATTGAAAAATATTATTTTTTAAATTAGTTTTTGTTGGCCAAATTAAAAAAAATAAGTAAAAAAAATTAAGACACAATGTTACTATCGTATCCTAGGGAGTTAGTTAAATAACATAATTTTAAAATTTTTTTCTCAATTTTTTATAGGTAGGGTTAATAATTTTTTTTCCTTTTAAATGAAAACTTGCCAACGATCTAAATAATTCAGTGATTATCTTTTTTCGTTGAAAATAAGAAATTTTGAATTCAAATTACATGACATGCCAATAGAGTATGATAAGAGATGAGAGATTGTTAATTCCTATTATACAACTAAGATCAAAAAAAGAAAAATTGAAAACTTCATAGAATCTACATCCAATCAATAATTTTTTTTATTAACTCTTGAGTATACGATAATAACATTGTGTCTTAATTAATATAAAGTCGAATTACGCCAAACTCCATAAAAAAAATCTCTAAATTTTAATTTTTTTATTCACAAAATTTAAATATAAAATTTTATTAAAAAAAAAAGAAAAAAACTAAATTCCCTGCAGGGCCGTTGGTTTCAATCAATAAATTTTGGATAACTAACAGAAGCGGCATTGTATGAATGGCTGTACGGGGGGCAAAGGAAATGTCGAAAGTCAGGTGATCGTCCCTTGAGAAAATGAAAGGGGACCTTGGGGCCTCTGCAATTCTTCCTACAGCTGGGCCGGGCCAGCCGTACTTTATTTACCACACATTACAACGAGGAAAGAGCCCACCAAACAGGCAAAATCATGCATGCGGACCTGCTCCGATCGAGACTTGTAGGTAAGAAAACTACGTATGCTCAACCTTATCACATGAATCGCTTTCAACCCTCAATTACCCGATGCTACGCATTCATATCGATGGTGCCTTGAATTCAAATTAATTAAACAAGTCAGTTTGATTAAATATTTGTAGATGTACCATCACCTAATTTAGGTGACTATATATAATGCTCTGTATTAATTTTTTTTTTATATTTAATAATAATAAATTTATAAAAAAAAATAATTGTTATTATTTTTTAAATCTTTTCACTTGACTTTAACTCTTTCGTTAAGTCATTCTATAGAGATTGATGCTATGCATTGTACTTATACAAATATGATAGTCTTTTTCTTGGTCGGAAGTTTTCAATTTTGTACATATGTAGGAATCTAAGGCACGCACATACATACATGTATATAGCATTCATGTTCATCGGTATATTTATATAGTATATATTGAATATTATGAGAAAGAGAATGTATATTTAATTAGTTAGTTGTAAATTTGGCCGATGGCCCTTTTTTTTGAGAAAAACAAAACAAACGCGTTGTTATTAACTACTTTTGTTATTAAAATAATTGTTATTTTTTTATTTTAAATTTATTTTAAATTAATTATTATTTTTTAACAATATAAATTTTTTTAATTTAATCATATCCTTATCCTTTTACTTTAGTTATTAATTTCATTATTAAAGTCTTTTTTTTTATGTATTAATTTTTAAAAAATAATATAAATAAACATATAACTTGTCTTTAAATTTTTAATTAAAAATAAAAAATAAAAAAATAATAGTTAATATGACATAGAGGAAATAATAGTAAGTGGGTCGTTGCGCGTGTAACCACAACCACCGAAGTTGGAGTACTAGTTTGTACTAATTAATAGCCGTCAAAATCCAGTAATTGCGTGTATTACTTTTTCTATCTAAAAAATAATTATTATTTTTTTATTTGTATTTGTTTTAAATTAATTATTATTTTTTATTTTTAAAAATCGATCGATTTTTTATTTAAATTTATTTTTATTTATTTATTTTAATTAATTATTTTATTAAAAAATTATTTTTTTAAATTTCTTTTCAAAAATAATATAAATAAATATATAAATTATCTTAAATTTTTAATTTTTCTTTTAAAAAAACAATTGTTATTTCGAGACGTAAGAAAGATATATAGAAGGAGAAGTAGTAGCGTCGATATCCTATGAGCCAAATACCTCTTTGAATGTTCGGTATTACATCTAACACGCAAATAGCAACAATTATCATCATCTCCCCAGTTTCACATGCATGCCATCAATTTTGATGCATTGCGATGAGCTAATATTTAAGTATCAGTTTTGTATTTTACAATATAAGCTACATTAAATTATAAAAATAATTTTATTAAATGTGAGAGGACCTTCAATATTAAAGATTTCATCCAATAATAAATATTGTATATAGTTTAATACAATTAAACTACAAACATTTTTTTGAGAATATATGTAAAGAGTCTATTATTTTATTGGGAACTCTCTTATTTAAGAGTTAGTATTTTACAATTTAAAATAATTTATGTTGTAAAATACTTTTTGAATAAGTAACTTGCGACTTTTTATAATTTTTTTATTTTTTAAATCTATAAACACCGTATTTTATGAGTAATGTTATTGTTTCACTTTTAATTAGCAATATTACATTTTTTATATTAATTGATTATTATATCATTTATTTTATTAAGAAACAAAAAAAATATAAAATTTTAAAAAAAAAGTGCATCATAAAAATATAATAGATAATTATATTAAAAAAATGATATTAATCATTTAAAATGTAAGAGTAACTCCACCCATACTTTATACTCAAATGCTTACATTCTTATCATTTTTAGACATAATTTTTAATAGTCCCGGCCGGCCACAAGAACTATGTTGTATAATATCTCCATGTCTGCAAATTAACAGACACCATTTTCTCTGCACTCTCAATGTATATATGAATCTTCATCAGACTCTTAAGATTTCTTGACCTTCATTTGCTTTTTCTTGCATTATACTTTATATATAAAACAAAATTAGGAATTAAAAAGCTGAAAATTCAGAGAATAAATTACTTAAATCAGAGTTTAAAATATGTTTGCATCAAATTAAGACTTAATTATGGAGAGAAGAGAACAATAAATTCAGAGCAAATCATGTTCACATACAAGAGCATTAATTACAACGAATCACAAATTTCTCGATCGATCCAATGGAGTACATTGCATGATCAAGTACATCAGAACGACTAACTAATTATAATATGATTAATTTACAAGAGAAATTAATCCTTGATGAATTAATATTATCGCCACCATATATGAATCTTTCCACAATTGTGCACTGAAATACTTCTCATAATACGTGCTTCGGAAAATTTAGTGAGCCTTATTAATTTCTCCATATATATGTCCCCCTCTCCAATGGAAGTCCGCTGCCCGAGGCTAAATTTTGTTGAAATTTCCACAGCACGTAGGTACTTGGGGTAAGCCTATACTGTTTGGATCAGAAACAGTATAGGGTTCACGAAATGTGCCTTCAACTACAATCACCATTGCCCCTATTTGAGAGAAAATTTCGTACAGAATATATTTTCGACCCATGCTGCATGCTAATGGAAGAGAAAGAGGGTCGGAGAAGGGGTGAATTCTTGCTCAGGTTTACACCCCTTTTTGGGGGGATCTTTCTGCTTTTGTTCATCTCCAATTTTAGAAACCAAAGGGGTTGGAAGGTTGATGGTGAGATCTAGGTTTAGATCAGGGAGACAAGGCCCGTGTTTGAGGCAACTTCCAGCATCGGATACTTGGTGATGATCCTCAAAGCTGCGGGATTTGGCCGATTGCTGATTGTCATTGGGTGGAATTTTTGGAGCAGAGGATGTTGCACTGGTGGAAATGGAATATTCGCCAGGCCGGTTCGTAGAGCGAGGGAGATTAGTCACCAAACGGTGATTATTGGGATCAATACCCATGTTTATAAGCTTTCTCCTTAAATGGGAGTTCCAGTAATTCTTCACTTCATTGTCTGTACGTCCAGGCAATCTCCCAGCTATTAGCGACCACCTGAATAACATTATTTTTCTTACCAAGTTAGATACATACATTTTTGTTTGAAAATACTAAATTGAAATAATTAATTAATTGACATTTTTATCCTCTTCAAATATTTAGGCTGAATGGAATAGAAAGAATTTGGGATATATATTATATCATACCGATTTCCTAACAGTGCATGAAGCTTGATGATGAGATCTTCTTCATCTTCAGCAAAATTGCCTCTTTTAAGGTCAGGCCTTAGATAGTTTATCCATCTCAACCTACAACTTTTACCGCAACGAAGAAGGCCTGATCACCATTGTCAATGTAATAACATCAGTTTGATGAGCTTATTCATGGTCACATAAACAATAGTTTAGCCGAATTGGTTTATATCCCTTAAATAGAAAATTTTAATGAATTCTGACATATATATATATATATATATATTACGATGAAGGGTACTTTATATTTTTGTGATATCTAAGTATGCTCAATATGAATTTCCTTCATGATTTCTGAGTTACGAATTAACCAGACAACTTGCTAGAAGGGGTTTCTTTTTGAATCTAGGAGCTAGCTAGTGGGGTTATTAATGTTCCTTTTGCAATTTCTTTGTTTTCATTTTCGTGACTTTCGTGGAGGCCCGGAAGAGTAGCAGAAATGGAAAAAGACATACCTGCAGCCTTGGGGAGAGTTCGCCAGCAGCCTTCGCCGTGTTTACGAATGTATTCAATAAGCTTCTCATCCTCCTGCTTAGACCATGCACCTTTGTTGGTGTCTTCCTTATCACAGCAAGGCTTCCTCATGTTCCAATAATGTTATCTTTACCAAAAACCCAAGAAATGGAATAGCAACGGCCCTCCAAGCTACTTCTTTTCAGGAGGAGAGAAATTGAGAGAAAAGATGGGTAATTAACCAAGAACACAACTGGCGTTGAAAGAAAAGCAATTGATGAGAGGTATATATTAGAGTTGTTGTACGCATATAGTAGAGAAGAAAGATTGACTTGACCGGTGGGTTTGATCATGCTCGTGACTGCATCGGTATGCAATTGCACTTGAGGGGGTGGCTGCAGAGAGTTTGACAATTTCGGTTTTGGTTGCCGTTAAGTATAAGTCTTTGTCTTTCACCAACAGTCCCCCGGAATTGTTATTGTCACCGTCAGAAGTGTTAAGGAAATTAATATTTTAATTTTTTAAAAGTCTTTAAAAATATAAATTTACAAATTAATTTTAATTTATTAATTAATAAATATTAATTATTTTATTAGTTAATAATTACAGTTATTAATTATTTATATCAATTAAATTAAATAAAATTAATACTTTCAAAAATAATATTTTATAATTTTAAAAACCTTTTCATTTTGGTTGGTATGGCCATAGCCATCCTGTCACTCCCATGCATTTTCATGTTTTCACTTCATTTTCAGTATCCGACTTTCTTGGATATTTTTTCCTTTTTCTTTTACTTTTATTTCTGCATCGGATCGGATGCCATATTCACAACAAAAATTTTGTAATTATTTAATTCCAAGTGAATGAATGTCTACATTTTTATGTTTTTTTTTTTTCAAATCATTTTGCATGTATCAAAAAATTAATGCTTTACTAATTATGTCAAAGACCCATTTCCTACATCAATCGAAGGACATTTAGTAATCAACTATAACACTCCAATATCAAAATATATACTGAATATCGTAAAAGATATATAATTACTTGATTACTTTTTTTTTTTTTTTTTAATTTCATTGTTAAAGGACGTTATGGCCGTACCCTACAGGTGCATGAAAATACGAAATTACAACTGATAAATAAACGAAAATAGGAAACTTCTAAGTTCTAAGATAAGTTTATCGTTTAATAAAGGACATATCATAAATACTAATAAAATGTTGACCAATACATATACCTACTTGTAATAGAAAAACTTGTTCGACGAAATTAAGAATTAAAAGCATATACGAGAAGAACATCAACATGAGGACAGGTTGGAACTGTCACTTGTAAACACGCTGACTGATAGTTTTCGCTATTTTTTCTAATATATATTTGTGATTTTTGAAGCTTAATTCTGGAGGTCGACTCCTATATCTTAATTCTGTAGATGCCATTCGAATCGGTTTGGTTTCCTTTACATAGGCCAACAAAATACCTACCCATTCCCAGGAATGAAGAGACCAACTTCCTTTTCAAGTTTGATGGTTGAATTGGGCACGTTTTTCTCCATCTCTTTGCCTAACAAAAAACTATTAACGTGTGAATTGAGGACTTCCAGCATGTTTTCAGCAATGATTGTGGAGTATCTTAACAAACTAGTATAGCATTAGTTTTTCTTTATTTTTTTTTATGAAATTAATTAGGTACATAATAGAAGTTGCTTTTTCCACTACAAGAAATGAGATTTTTAGTGACAAAAAATTGCGACGAATATTGAAATCAACATTATAACTCATTACATTTGTGATAGAATTTGAAAATTAATCACAAATGCAAATATATTCAATAATGATAAAAAAAATTTATTATTAAAAAGATATTTCATTATTGAAAAATGATCACAAATAAAAAATAAGTTTGTAACAATAAAAATCATCACTATTACTCATCCTAATTAAAACAAATTTCAAATATTGATCACATATACCTTACACATTCAATAATGACCAAATAATTTATTACTAAAAATGTATTTTGTCACTAAAAATTGTTACAAAAAGAATACATACTTGTGATCATAAAAATCATCATTACAATTCAACCGTATTTAAGTTTTCTCTAATCAATGCATCCCATATTGGTAAAAAACATATAAGAGAATAAAATTTTGCACTATAAATATATTTCATATGATAAGAAATATTTAAGAAAATAAAGTTTTGCATTATAAAACATGTGAAGTTCAATAAAACTTGAGTTTAGTTTGGACCTGATTAATTTTAATTGGGCTTGATTAATTTTAATCAAAATTGATTAGTGTTAAAATAATAATATTTTTTACTAAACTTTTGTGATAAATTTATATATCAATTTTTTTGTGACATAATTTTTGTTACGATATTTGTGGTATATAAATATCTTTTTGATTTAATATCAATTTTAATAATTAATAACTAAATTTTTCATCACAATTGCATTTGTGACTATTTTTTTGTCACTTAATTGTAACATTTGCGATGAAAATTATTGTAACAAAAAAATTTTTTTTTTGCGATGATTAAATTTGTTACAAATAACTTATTAATAATATCAATTTTTGTCATCATTACAAAATTCTTTTCTGTGATAAGTATCAAATTTATCACTAAAAGCATTAGTTATAAGGATTTTGCTAACGATTTAAATTTTATCACTAATTTTAATTTGTGACGAAAAATAAAAGTTTAGTGACTAGTTATTAGTCACTAAATATGAATTTCTTGTAGTGTTCATTATACAATGAAAATTTGGTTTTAACTTTAATTTGAAATCAAAGTAAAAACTTTTTTTTTGGGGGCAATTCACTATTGTGTTATATATCTTTATAATTTTTTTATGCTATATATCTTTCCTCTCTTTTTTTTTAGGAAAGTAAAGTATAATATAGTATACAAATTATACATAACACAGATATCTTAACTTAAGTATAATACAAAATCTAGAAAAAAAAAACTTGAAGAAAATTCATCATATACAAAATTAAACCCAAAATCTCAAGGTTACAGGCCATTGGGGCAAATTAAGATATTATTGGCTATATCTTTATAATATTGAACACAAAAAATACCTGCATATACATAGTTGAATGATATTCTGTTTTTGTTGCTTGTGGTTGCATGGTGGATGTTCGAACTGGGAGCCTAGGCCTCTTAGAACCTCATAGATGGAAGATATTAATTTTAGGAGAGGAGAGGGATTTGAGACTATAAATATTTACAAATTTTTTAAATTATATCAAATTACATAACAAAATACTGACCTCTCATATATATTATGCACCAAACAAAAATAAAGAAGATCAGATATATATCATGAAATTCGAACAATGAATTTACACATGGGGCCACGGGACATTAAAAAACTGGCAGTCGTCCCCTCCTACATCACCCAATCGATACTCTTTCCATGGGCCACCCTCATTCTTTATCTGTTAATCCCTTTCTTGGTGTCAATTGAAAAACAGAATATGGATAAGATGAAAATGCACATCCTCTTATGTTTGGACTTTTAGAGCTTAGACCGATTGATAACCACGTGCTCCTCGTGAATCCCTGTAGAAACTATTCGATGAATCGTTGCTGCCAAGAATGATTGGTGTGTTTGAGAACAATTTACTGTCCTTTTTTTTTTCTCTCTCTCTTTTATTTATTATTATTATTATTGTTTTAGATAGAGATGGTTGGGTTTTCAATCATTAACAACCATACTGAAATAGTAAGTCAATTAGCCAATGATTAAAGGGTTTTTAGAATTTACCTTCTTATAATGTGTTTATTATATATTTTTATTATTATTTTATATAAAAAATTATAAAAATAAATTTTATTTTTAATGTTAATATCATATGAAATATTTTAAGTAAATAATTAATAAAATTAAAATTAATTTTTATTTTTATTTAAATTAATAATTGAAAAAATAAAATAAATGCCCTTTAATGTGTGCATTAAAGACATAAATTTTAAAAAATTTTCAATATTAAAAATATGAATTTGAGTTGTGAAATTAGTAC